AGGCGCAGGGTTTAGAGGTTTAGGGTTTTGGGGTTGAATTAGGGGCTAAGTTTTAGGGTTTTGGCTTCAGAGTTTGAGGTATAGGGATTAGGGGTTTACGGTCCCAAGGGTTTGGCTGTACCGGGCTGGCACTGCGAAGATCTTAGCACCTTTCACCCAGGCTGCCTCCGCAACCTACAACATGAAAGCCCCTCCTAAACCCTAAACCCTAAACCCTAAACCCCAAACCCTAAACCCTAAACCCTAAACCCTAAACCTCAACACTTCCATACCTGGGGCTCAGGAAGACAACTGAAGCCAGGACTGGCTGTCGCCTACGTTTGGCCAGCAAACCCTAAGCCCGGAGCCCTCTGAAGCCCTCCACCCGACCCCGGGGTTTGTTTTAAGGTTTGGGGGTTGTAGGGTTTTAGGGGTTTTAGGGGTTTTAGGGGGTTTTAGGGGGTTTTAGGGGTTTTAGGGGGTTTTAGGGGGTTTTAGGGGTTTTAGGGGTTGTAGGGGTTGTAGGGGTTTAGGGGTTTATAGGTTTAGGCTTCGGGCTTTCCTTGCCTGAGGCCTGACTTGGGACTGACGCTACAGGGTCCCTCAGCCAAAAGATCTTAGTGAAATCCCACACGGAAATATTTAAGGTTTCAGGGTTTAGGGTTTAGGGTTTAGGGTTTAGGGTTTCAGGTTTGATCGAAAACATGGCCCGCTCTGGACCTCCCTAGTGGGTCCACTCCTTTTACTTTACGGCATCCAAAAAGCAGAGCACGATCTGGATCAACTTTGAGATGGGGGTCTCCGAAATTAGGAATACCTTATGGGGGTCCTTTATATGAGGAAATTCTACTATTTCGACGTCTATACTAGGGGTCCCCTATCCTGAACCTACTAATCGCTTAAGAACCAACCCCCCAAGAAACATAGTCTTTCTTATAAGGGCAATATAGGGAGTACTGTTTTCTATCCCTACTTTGGAGTAGACACTGGAAAAAATGTATATACTTTTTAGGTAAAAAGTAGCTACAATAGGAACCCAGAACCAAAAAGAGTATTAAAGTACAGTACTCCAGAACCCAGCTATTTCCTAGGGTTTCTTAAGCAAATAGTTGCTTTCAGAACCCCCCAGGACATACATTCTTTCTGAAGAGGGCAATACAGGGATTACCATTTTTTATTTCCCAGGGGCTTCTTAAGCAAATAGTAGGAACCCTTGGGGTGATCCATGCGATGCAGCAGCTGACGCCCTGCTCGCCGAGGTTCACTGCATCCAGGGCCATTCCTCTCCACATCAGGTTTAGGGGTTTAGGGCTTCGGGTTTAGGGTTTAGGTTTTAGGTTTTAGGGTTTAGGGTTTAGGGTTTAGGGTTTAGGGTTTAGGGTTTAGGGTTCTTGAGGGAGGGGGCTTCATTCGTCTCCCCGGGCCCCAGTATTTGGAGGCTCATGGGACTCATGGCAAAATCTGGCTCGAGCCCTCTGGTCGTTTTAGGGTTTAGGGTTTAGGGTTCAAATTTTTAGGGCTTAGGGTTTAGGGTTTAGGGTTTAGGGTGTAGGGTTTAGGGTTTAGGGTTTAGGGTTTAGGGTTTAGGGTTTAGGGTCTAGGGCTTAGGGTTTAGGGTGTGATTTGCCGCGACAGGTTTGCTCAATGTTCCGTCCTCTTTTTTGGCACGTTTGACGCACGTCGAGCCTATGTTAAGCCCTCCCAAAAGCCTCTGCAAAGCAAAGGCTTTGAAAACTTCAAACCGTCAGAGCGTCCCTGTAAACCTCAGGCGCCTTGGTTTAACAATCTCTGAAAGCTCCCCCGGCTTTCGTAAGAAATGCCGTTGAAGCACCACGACCACGCGCAAGCACAGTGGGACATGCCGTGACGCTGTTGTTGTCAGTGAAGGTGCATGTGGGCATTTCTAAAAATCTAGCAACCCCACTGAAGGTGAGGGTGGGGAAAATGCACTTCAAGACGACCGGATTTCTGCGGCTGTGCGCGGGCTGTGGGTCGCCATGAGGCTTCGGTTCGTTAGGAAAAGTACCGGAAGACCTCTGATCTCTGGTGGCTTCCAGCTCCTCATTCAGGCCCTCTACTGTGCCCTGGAGAAAACCTCCCAAAGCTTAAACCCCACAAATTCGGCTCTCAACTGCACTCGCCGGGTCTGCTGAAAGTTGGAGATTTGGGGGCGCTTGTAAGGGTTGGAGGGTATTTGGGGGGCGTCATTGTAGCCCTTCATGCACGAGGCGGTCCTAATCCTGACGGCGTCCGCGCCGGCGGCTGAACATCTTCCATCGCGGCGTCCACCGGCATGGATAAAAACCCGAAGCCCTAAACCCCAAACTGGGAAGAGAGCGTCACACAGAACACGATCTTGGGGGCACAAAAGGCGCTTCGAATGTGTCACGGGGTGTGTTCTCAGATCCCTCTGCACGGCATTCAGAGGCTGGAGCCCAACGCTTCGGAGATCCGAGTCCTTCTTATACTATTAGGGGTTATATAGGGCAATAAGATTAAGGGTCCCTTCTAGGGCCTCCTTATACCCCTTCTTATACTGTTCTATGTTGAGAGCGCGATTACTATGTCTGACTTTAGATACTAGTGTATGATGTTATTAGGGTGTCGAGTCTTTAGGCTCGTGGGCGTGGGGTTTTGTGGTTTTGGGTTTTTGGGGTTTAGGGCTTGAGGGTTTCAGTTTAGGGTTTAGGGACGTCGTTCAGGGATCAGGGTGCCGGGGTCTTTGTTTTTGGTTGCTCTAAGTGCCCTAAACCCTAAACCCTAAACCCTAAACCCTGAATCCTAACAGGTACCTGCTGATAATGGAGCCCTTTGAAGATCAGACTCCCCAAACAACGAGCCCCATTTTAGAGCCAGCTCCAGACATCCAACGTAGGGTTTAGGGTTTAGGGTTTAGGGTTTAGGGCTTAGGGTTTAGGGTTTAGGGTTTAGGGGTTAGGGGTTAGGGGTTAGGGGTTCGGGGTTAGGGTTTAGGGGAATAGATATCGCACCTTAGTATGAGCAGCCAGGGCGGTGCAACCCTACAGCCTGAATTCCCGAATTACCTAAGCCCGAAGCACTAGCACATTTCTCTTGCAGCCTAGACCCTGAACCCCGAAACCCCGAGACCCTGAACCCACATTCCCTGAAGCCCAAGTACCCTCGAAGCGCAACTGTCCAAAACCCCATTTCACAGCTTCCCTAAACCCCAATTCCCGAAACTATTTCGCATGCCTGAAGATCTCTACACCCTAAACCCTGAACTCTAAACCGAACCCTAAACCCTAAACCCCAAACCCTAAACCCTAAACCCTAACCCTAAAACCTAAACCCTAAAACCTAAACCCTCAAGCCCTCAAGAGACCATCTGGGGCCCCATGCTGGCCCCCAGGGCCACCGAGCCACCAGCGGAAAAGGTGGCCATCTGTGGGGGGGGGGGGGGGGGGGGGGGGGGGGACAGGGCGGGGGACAGGGCGGGGGGGGGGGGGGGGTTTAGGGTTTTTTAAGGTTGGGGGGGGGGGGGGGGGGGGGGGGGGGGGATTTAGGGTTTAAGGTTGGGGGTCTAGGGTTTAGGGTTTGGGGTTGAAGGTTTCGGGTTGAAGGTTTGGGGTTGAGGGATGTTGAGGGTGCAGGCTTTGGGCTTAGCCCGAGCGGAAGCACACCTTGTGAATGTGTATGAGTCTGCAGACCTACCAGGGCCACTTGCAACCCTCACCGGGCTTCGGGTTTCGGGTTTACGGTTTAAGGTTTAGGGTTTAGGGTTTAGGGTTTAGGGTTTAGGGTTTAAGGTGTAGGGTTTAGGGTTTAGGGTTCTAAAATTTAGGGTTGCTCACTTGCGGGCGCAGATTGCAAGGCGAGCCGCAGCTGAAGACCGTTTTGCAACTGCGGGGTTGTTTTAGGGTTTAGGGTTCAGGGTTTAGGGTTTAGGGTTTAGGGTTTAGGGTCCCTCACAATGAAGCCTCTGAAAAGGTCGGTTGTTTTTGCGAGGCTTAATCGCCTGGGGCTCTTGGGCATCTATGTATGTCCTCTTTTGGCTCAGGGCTTTAGGGTTTTAAAGCTTTAGGGTTTCAGGGTTTTTAGGGCTTTAGGGTTTTAGGGCTTTAGGGTTTTAGGGTTTTAGGGCTTAGGGTTTTAGGGTTTAAACCCTAAACCCTAAACCCCTAACCCTAACCCTTAACCCTAAACCCTAAACCCCTAGCCCTAAACCCTAAACCCGAAACCCCAATTAGAGATCCTAAGCCCCCTTCCCCTTCTGCTTCAGGGCGTCCCCACGAAGTCGCCCAGCGAGGGGTCGAAGGTGTGAGCAGAGGCCACCAAGCCTCAGGAAACCAACCTTGGGGGGATTCGGGTTTAGGGTTTAGGGTTTGGGGTTTCGGGTTTAGGGTTTAGGCTTTAGGGTTTAGGGTTTAGGGTTTAGGGTTTAGGGTTTAGGGTTTAGGGTTTAGGGTGGGTCTAGGGTTGACGGTTTTAGGGTTTAGGGTAAGAACCCCAAAACCTCAAATGTCCGAAGCCGAAAAGCCATATACCCTACAAGCCCTAAGGCCTTACCCCGGGAAACTGCTCAAAACACTGGAATGCTCTCTGGACCTAAACCCTCTCTAGGTAGGGGTTCAAACTCTTCCCGCGGTCTCGAGCTTAAACCCTAAACCCCAAACTCTAAACCCTAAACCGCGTTTGGGTTCCCTAAACTAGAACCCCCTCCCATGCACCGCGCAGTTCAGCGTTAAAGGGGTTGAAAGGGCCTTGTTGGCGAAGTTTAGGGCATGTACCGTTCAGGAGTTCAGGGGTCCAGCCAGGGGTTTGGGGTTCCCAGGCTTAGCGTTTAGGGTTTCGGGTTTAGGGTTTAGGGTTTAGGGTTAGGGTTTCGGGTTTAGGGTTTAGGGTTTAGGGTTTAGGGTTTAGGGTTTAGGGTGTTTAGGATTTAGGGCTAGTGTTTAGGGTTTAGGGTTTCGGGTTTCGGGTTCGGGGTTCGGGGTTCGGGGTTCAGGCGTTTAGGGGTTCAGCGTTCGTCGGGTTTGGGGTAAGGACACCAAGCCTTTGGCTCACGGACTCCTCTGTCACGGAGTACCTCCACAATCTGGGGTCGTTTCGAGGATGGCCCTTAAGACTCTTTGAGAATTAGTCCTCAATATGATCCCTACACCCTGAACCCTAAGCCCTAAACCCGAAACCCTAACCCTAAACCCAATAAGGGAAAATATGAAATGTCCCAAGGGCCTACTTCAGCTTAGGGCCGGTGGGGCTCATGGGGTTTGCGCATGTGGGGTTTAAAGGGGCCTACAGGGCTCATAGGATTGAGGGTTTGTAGGTTTTGTAGGTTTTGTGGGGTTTAGGGTTTAGGGTTAAGGGTTTAGGGTTTAGGGTTTAAGGTTAGGGTTTAGGGTTTGGGGCTTAGGGCTTAGGGTTTAGGGTTTAGGGTTTAAGGTTAGGGTTTAGGGCTTAGGGCTTAGGGTTTAGGGTTTAGGGTTGAGGGTTGAGGGTTTAGGGTTTAGGGTTTAGGGTTTAGGGTTTAGGGTTTAGGGTTCAGCAAATTACCTCATTCCCAAACTCCTCTGGTGAGTTTAGGGGGTGCTAAAGCAGGGCTTCGGGGTGAGCAAGTTTGCGGATTGATTTTTTCCCGCAAAATTAAGAGCCCCTTGTGGACTTCTTGTGCTTCGGATATGATTCCATCAGCTATCAACAAGTGGGTCTGAGTTCAGAATAGCCCACCACAGAGGGTTTAGGGCTTAAGGCTTGTGGCTTGGGATGTTCCCCCTTATACTAACAGTCCTTGATAGGGGACACAGTACCCCCCGTCCCTATATACCTAAGTAGCCCCCTAAATAACCCCTGAAGAACCCCTAAGGTCCCTTGTAAGGGTCCCTCCTTTAGTCCCTAACCCGAAACCCTAAACCCTAAACCCCCAAACCCCCAAACCCTAAACCCTCAACCCTACCTAGTAAGGACTGTTCTTCTAAGGGGGAACATCCCAGTTTATGGCAGGGAAGGCGGCCGCACGTGGCGTTCTTGGCGGCGCAATAGCCTGGCAAGACCCCAAAACCCCTACTCCTTGTTAGACCCCAAACCCTAAACCCTAAACCCTATGCCCTGAACCCTACTGCCAAAAGCCTAAACCTCCAAAGGCCACCCTGAACCCGGACGTCCTCAAAACGCCCAAGGGCCCAACGGAAACCTGAAGGAAACCGTTGATCAGGGTTCTTGGGTTTAGGGTTCAGGGTTGAGGGTTTAGGGCTAGGGTTTGGGTTTTGGGGTTTGGGGTTTAGGGCTTAGGGCTTAGGGCTTAGGGCTTAGGGCCTAGGGTTCCTGAAAAGTCGAGAAAGCCCTCGGCCACCTGACATTGTCCAACCAAGTATGCGGCAGGCCCCCTAACTTAGAGTCCCGCCACGGGTACTTCTCGGAATACCGACCATGCTTACCGTACCCCAAAAGGGAACTTCATATCCTCCTCCAAAACCCGAAACCTTAACCTAGTCCCCCCCTATGTAGACCCTTTAAGGGATTCTATGGGGTACCTAATTCCCTCACTCCCTACTACGAAAAAGTAAGCTGAACTCTGAGGTGAAGCTCCCTGTGAAGTCCTTTGAGAAAACAAGTGTTGGCGGTTTAGGATTTAGGGTTCAGCGTTTGGGGTTTAGGTTTTAGGGCTTAGGGTTTAGGGTGCGCGTTTTAAATGTTCAAAGCCGCAAAACTTCAACTTGTTTGAAAAATGGCGGCTTCTAGGGCCCAGAGGGCCCTGAAACTTTCAAACCTTTTAAATGTTTAAGACTTTTACAGCTTGAAAAACCATCTGGTCTGAAACGCTTTAAAGGTTTTCAAAGTTCGGCTGGTGTTTTGAACCTTGGAAACTGTAACACTTTCACAACTTTAAAAAATCTTGTGGTTTTCAGGTTTTAAAAACTCGTGTTTTAAGCTTACATTATCTGATCAACCTTCGGCGCCAGTCCTATTCCACTCTTTCGAACTCAAGATAGGGCTAACCCTTACACCCCCCTAAACCCTAAACCCTAAACCCTAAACCCTAAACTGTTCATCTGAATACCAAAAGCCATTCAACCCCCATCCTGGGGCTGAAACTTGGGACGTGCCTCAACATGTAGTTTAGGTCTCCTTTCGTCCTCTTCAACGAACACAAGCAACCACAACTCAAAGTGAAGCAGAGGTCAAGAACCACGATCCGGTCAGAGGAGGGCACTGTTCTACAATCTTGAACAACGTTTACGACGAGCATGTCTTAATGTTCATGAGGTCGAACCCTCGAGCAGCGCACTTGAGCGTTCTACCTTGCAGCACAGCAATGAAAACATCCCTAAAACCCTAAGTTCTAAACCCTGCACTTCGGATGTTCCTCCTTATACTAGCAGTCCTTTATAGGGATTGTAATGGGGGGTACTTTAACCCCTATTAAGGACTGATAGTTTTAATCCGAGCTCCTGTTTAATTTAACCCCCCATATTTAAAGAATTTTTTTGCCCGGATTCCCGCCGGAAGACTACTTTCCATTACGATGGATTTCGTATGGGCCAAACCCTCCACATTTAAAGAAATGTTTTTTTGGGGGGGTTGTCAAATTTTGAAACTCCTATTGTTTTCAATACGTTCTTATTGTTTTTTAATAGAGAAACCATACGGGGCCATGGTCCAACTATTGCGGAACCCTGCTTTCCTTATTGTGGGGGGGGGGGGGCCCCCACCAATTAAACAGGAGCTCGGATTAGGGACAACATCCCAACCCTGCACCGTTCCTGAAGAAAAAGGAGCTCCGAACTATTCAGGTATCCTTTGCAGCCCGACATCAACTTTCCAGGGTAATTTTCCGCTCTAAACCCTAAACCCTAATCTCTAAACCCTAAACCCTAAACCCTAAACCCTAAACCCTAAACCCTAAACCCTAAACCCTAAACCCTAAACCCTAAACCCTAAACCCTAAACCCTAAACCCTAAACCCTGTTCTGGAGTCGGTTCACGCCCTCACGGAATACAACAGGGCAAAACTGGCTGCGCCTGACTCTTAAAACCTAGTAAAGTCGGTACACCTCATGGCCAAGACATATAAAACCAAAAAGAAGAAAACAGCAGTAGGACAAACAGCATGCACAACAGAGCTTCACATCAATCCGAAGCTGGTATTTTTGTATAGCTGATGCCTACAAAAACACAGTAAAAAAAAAATTGCACAGGAGGGGCATGCAGATACAGAACCCGAACCCGGGCGACTCAATTGCCACATGAACCTCTTTGTTCATTCTTGTTCCTTATTGGTGCAGGTGTGCAGATAGATAGCTATATGTATATATAATAATAACGATCATAATAATAAGAAGAAGAACAGTAATAATAACAATAATTATTATTATTATCATAATAATAATCATAACATTTGTGTTATGAAATAATATATTATACCATATGGTACTATCATTTTTCCATATTCTGCTATCTTAATATCATATACTATAAAGAAATGGAGATTTAATATATATATATATATGTATACATACATACATACATACATACATACATACATACATACATACATACATACATACATACATACATACATACATACATACATACATACATACATACATACATACAGACATACATACATACATACACACATACACACACATACACACATATACACACACATATACACACACACACACACACATACACACATATACATATATATATATATATATATATATATGTGTGTGTGTGTGTGTGTGTGTGTGTGTGTGATGAGCGAAAACATGGCCGAGGAACTCGCCAGGGCCCCGTGAGTCGTAACGCACCCCTTGGGCCTGCCCGTCGACCTGCTTGGGCTTTGATAGGGGGCGGCGTAGGGTTTAGGGTTTAGGGTTTAGGGTTTAGGGTTTAGGGTTTAGGGTTTAGGGTTTAGGGTTTAGGGTTTAGGGTTTAGGGTTTAGGGTTTGGGGCTTGGGGCTTGGGGCTTGGGGTTTAGGGTTTAGGGTTTAGGGTTTAGGGTTTAGGATTCAGGTTTAGGGTTTAGGGCTTTCATAGGGGGTTAATAGGGCTTCAGCGGGTTGCAAAGATTCGGGCTTTAAGGTTGAAATGAAGGGCCCCGAGGGTTTTGGGCTTCGCGGGTTTTTGGGCTTAGGGTCTCGGGCTTAGGTTCTAGGATCCAGCGTGTGGGGTTAAGGGGCTACCTGTCGACTTTGGGATCTCAGGTTCTGGAGTTTTGGGGTTTTGGGTTTAGGGTTTAGGGTTTAGGGTTTAGGGTTCGGGTGTGGAGTTTAGGGTTTAGGGTTTAGGGTTTAGGGTCTAGGGTTTAGGGTAAGTTTAGGGTTTAAGGCTTCTCGGGTTTAGGGTTTAGGGCTTCTCGGGTTTAGGGTTTAGGGGCTTGAGGGCCTGAGGGGCTTCGGGAAGTCAGGCTCAGGGCTTAGGGGTTTCTCAAGGCTTCGGGAAATTCGAAACCCTAAACCCTAAATCCTTTAGGCTCCCACACAAACGCTGGGCCCCCAGGCTCGGAACCCACAAACCCAACGTGAGACCCCAAAAACCCTTGAGCCCTCAACCCCAAAACATCCAGAAACCGCCCAAATATGCCTCAATCCTAAACTTCGGAGACCCCCAAAAACTAAACCCCTAAGCCCCTAAACCCCTAAACCCCTAAACCCCCTAAACCCCTAAACCCCTAAACCCCTAAACCCATAAACCCTGAACCCTAAACCCAGTCAAGCCAAGGTTTTTGGGTTTGGGGTTTGGGGTTTAGGGCTTAGGGCTTAGGGGTTTAGGGGTTTAGGGGTTTAGCGGTTCAGGGTTTAGGGGTTTAGGGGTTTAGGGGTTTAGGGGTTTAGGGGTTTAGGGGTTTAGGGGTTTAGGGGTTCAGGAGTCTAGGTAAGGTTTTCCCCATCAGATGATGACCCTCATGAACGAGCTTGAGGCTGTAGGGTTGTAGCACCGCTCAAGCCGCTAAATCCCAAAGCCACAAACCCTGAAGCCTCCCTACTCCCTACTCCCCAAACCCTAAACCCTAAACCCAAAACTCAACTCTCCCTAAACCCTAAACAAAAAAAAACCTCTGAAAGGACGAGGGACCCTGAGGTAAAAAAGATGTGGGACACCGCCGCGGCGGGCGGCGTCTCAAAGACATCCTCGCGAATCGGGGGGTTGGAGGTTTGGGAGTTAGGTTGGGGCTTAGGGTTCAGGGTTCAGGGTTCAGGGTTTAGGGTTTAGGGTTTAGGGTTTAGGGTTTAGGGGTTAGGGTTTAGGCTTTAGGGTTTAGGGTTTAGAGGGTTTGGAGGGGATGGAGGGTTTGGAGGGTTTGCAGGGTTTGGAGGGTTTAGAGGGTTTAGGGGCTTAGAGGGTTGAGAGGGTTTAGAGGGTTTAGAGGGTTTAGAGGGTTTAGAGGGTTTAGGGGGTTTAGAAGGTTTAGAAGGTTTAGAAGGTTTAGAAGGTTTAGAGGCTTTAGGGTTTAGGTATGTTGGGGTTTAAATCGGTTTAAATATTCGTCATCCTCCCGATTTCAAGCTTTGGGGGCTACTCGAACCCCTTGTGAAGATGATGTCGAAGAGCCCTGTACCCTCATGCGGATAACGGGACCACAATTTCACCCTAAACCCTAAACCCTAAACCCTAAACCCTAAACCCTAAACCCTAGACCAGGTTTTGGGAATTGGTGAGGCGTTATCGCCGGGCACCTGATTTGGGCTCAACCGCCTCTGCGTTGCTTCGGGGGGTCTTTCAAGGGCCCAAAGGTCCATTCTCGAAACCCTCTTTCTTACTTCTCCAATAACCAAGGGGAAAAAAGGTTAAACTTTATGATTCCTCCTAAGTAAGGAAACCCAAAAAGTTTAAAGTCCAACTATTGGCTAAGTAAGGTTTGGCTTTAGGGTCTTCGGGTTTTAGGGGTTGAGGGGCTTCAGGAGGGGGTTCAGGGGTTTCGGGTCTTGGGGGTTTAGGGTTCTCCGGGTTTAGGGCCTTGGGGCGATCCTCTTGAACCCGATAGCCGGGAAAACGTCAACATCCATCCGGTTTTCTCCTCCACATTACCTTACCTTAAGTGGCACCATTTATAAAGGCCGGTGGCCGCTTTATCTGTTGCCCTTATACCTTAATATAGCCCCTAGGTACCCTAAATAAGAACCCCCTTACAAAAACAGAGGCCATACTTAAAGAGACCACCAACCAACAGAAGGCATTATAGGAGCATAGGGTATGCACACATGTCATGCATGGTCAGCTCTACATGATGGGCCCCTTTTTTTCGGCACCTGAAACAGCGATTGGCCGCCTTAGAAGGACCCCAAAAGGGACCATATTTTATAGAGAAGCCGCCATCTACATATATGCTCACCCACCCGCCCCATGCGGATCGTGCTTTGTCATGGAGGGGGTGGGGCCTGAAATTCCAAAATTCCAAAGCATTGGGGCCTAATCATTCCAAAAATTCCAAATTTTGTTGGGCTAACAAGTTCAAAATTCCAAAATTCCAAAAGTTTTTGGTCCTAACAATTTCAAAATTCCAAAATTTGTGGGCCCAACAACTCCAAAATTCCAATATTCTAAAATTCCACAAAAAGTGGAATTGTGGAATTGTTAGGCCTAACATTCTTGGAATTTGGGAATTTGGGACTTTTGGAATTTTGGAATTGTTAGCCCCAAAAATTTGGAATTTTGGACTTGTTAGCCCCAAAGATTTTGGAATTGTGGGAGTTTGACATTCTGAGGTATCACAACACTACGTTTGCACAATGGGAAATATATGAGGCTCGAAACTAGTGTGTCTTGTTTACTTGCATGCACAGTAGAATGATATACAAAGTTGGCAAAGTTATAATGATGATGATAATAATAATAAAATACTAATAAGAATATTCAAAATTTGACGTTTTTAATAATAATGATAGTAATAATAGCAATAACAATAATAATCATAATGATGATAATAAGAATAATGATGATAGCAATACAAATTTCCATGATAACCATCATAATGATAAGAACAATAGTAGTATTCAGAATCATAAGAATAACAATAATAACAATAATAATGCTCTAAGCAGTGGTAACAATAGCAATAGTTATAATAAGAAAAAGAATGGCAGTAATAATAATAAATATTGTTATAGAAACTCTAGTAATACCAGTAAAACTAATACGAAGCAGAAATAAGAATAATAATAGCAGTAAGAATAGTAATCATAAAAAGGAGAATAATACAAGTAACAATAGGAACAATAGTAACTAATAACCGTGATAACAATCACACAATAAGAATGAGAACAATAATAATAGTTGTAACAATAACAAGAATAACAACAGCAAAAATAGTCATATCAAAAATAACAGTAATAACAGCAACAATAATAATAGTAATAATAAGAATAATGACCATATGAATTATAGTACTGATAAGCATAATAAGAATAAGGATGATGACAATAGTACTACTACTACTACTACTACTACTACTACTACTACTACTACTACTACTACTACTACTACTACTACTACTACTACTACTACTACTACTACTACTACTACTAATCATAATATAAATCATTTTAATAGTAATAATGGTAATAGCCATAATGATAATGATAGTGATGATGATAAACATAACATTAATAAGAATGTAAGTGATAATAATAGCAGCAATAATAATATTAATTGGAACAATAATGAGAATATTAAGCATAATGACGATAAGAATATTTATAATGGTAATAATAGCAGCAATAACAATGTTAATTGTAACAATAATGAGAATATTAATCATCATGATGATAATAATCACAGTCGTAAAAACCATTTAGTTCGCACGCTGCAGAAAGAAAACATACTCCCGAAATGGACAAAAAGCAATATCCGCGATGCCGACAATCCATGAGAAACGGATCTGTGAACTGGCAGATGGAAGTATCATTTACAGTCTGGGCGACATCACGTACAAAGTAAACAACAGTGGAGAGCATCACCTATCGCAATCTGAATACGCAAATGCAGCAGAGATCCTCTCAAAAGAGAGTTACTGACTGTTACTCTCGAACGAGAGTCACTGTGAAGCTGCTTCCTTGAGACGCATCGAAAATCGACTCGAGGCAACAAGCCATTTTTATCGTGCCTGCCGAGGTTTTAGGGATCGGCGCGCGTTATGGGGGGGGGGTTAGAGTTTAGGGTCCCGCCCCTGTTTCGGGTTTAGGGTTTAGGGTTTAGGGGGGAGGGGGGGGGGGGGGGGGGGGGTGTCGTGGGGGGGGGGAACAACATGGGGCGGGGTGGGGGGGGATAACATGGGCGGGAGGGGGTACCGACACGGGACACGGAACCACATATATATATATATATATGTATATATAAATAGATAGATAGATAGATTGGGTATGTGATCCCCTCTTGGGGTGCGGCCCCTGATTTGCTTGGAGCTTGGACTGATCTGAAGGGCTTGGAGTTCGGGGCATCTACCCACTTTAAGCGGCCTATTTCGTTCAACCCTGACTGAACTTAAGGGTTTAGGGTTTAGGGTTTAGGGTTTAGGGTTTAGGGTTTAGGGGTTAGGGTTTAGGGTTTAGGGTCCGCCGACCCTGGCGGCGTGTTGGATGGGAAAAGGAGGTGAAAACCTCCCTCTTTCCCTCCCCCCCCCTACCCCCCCTAGCCCCCCCCCCCCACCCCCCCTACCTTTCTCCCTCAATTCAAGGATGGTAATCAGGCATCAAAGAGGGCCACCCACACCTGCAACCCCCCCCCACCCAAACACGGGTGCTGGGTCTGGGTTTTGTTCAACAAATTGCCCCACTGCTTCAGCTCCTAAACTGTTTGGGTCCTGGTGCTACCCCCTACCCCCCCCCACGTTTCACAGAGGCGCGAGCGTTTCACAACTTTTTGGGATTCTGCCGAGCAGGCTGCGATGCTCTTCGAACCATGCGATGAGGAAAGCATCCTTTGAGCCGACGAGCGGGTTTAGACCTTTCAACTATGCTCTGGCGGGGTCGGCGGCTTGAGCCGGAGGCTCTTAAATTTAGGGTTTAGGGTTTAGGGTTTAGGGTTTAGGGTTTAGGGTTTAGGGTTTAGGGTTTAGGGTTTAGGGTTTAGGGCTTAGGGGCCAAACTAACCCCTCCAACCTAACCCCAAACTCGTGCTACTGCAACGCGGCGGCTTTCCAACGTAGCTTAGGGCTTAGGGCTTAGGGCTTAGGGTTTAGGCTTTAGGCTTTAGGCTTTGGGGTTTAGGGTTTAGGGTTAGGGTTTAGGGTCTAAACCAAGTCTCGTCCGAGCCATTAAACAACCCTGAACCCAAAACCCTAATTACACCTAGGCCTTTGGCCCTGGGCGGTTTGACGAGCTTAGGGTTTTGGGGTCCTAAACTTCACACCAGCATAAACCCTACGCGCGTGTTAAAGGTTAAGTAAGGCTTTTAGTTTGTAGGTACCCCTGATGCCCAATTCCACCTCTGGCTACCTCTGCTTGTAACCACAACTGCAGAGAAACCAAGAGCCCCCAAGCAGAGGCAGCGCACCGTCAGTTCTTTTCGTCGTCGTCCGCCACAGGCTCGACTCGACTTGGTGGTTTACGAACATAGGGGGTCCCGAAATAAACCTCCGAATGGTAGGATTCCCTTACAACAAGGACCCCGTATAAGGTACCCCTCATATCGGGAACCCCAGATGTGAGCCTTGTCCTATACAAGGCCGCAGCCTGAAGGACCTCAACTGCAGCAAAAATGTTGCACAAAGTCAAGCTGACTCAGGGCTTCCTCACAACATCATATTGTCTACGCCTTGAACGTGAGGGTTTAGGGTTTAGGGTTTAGGGTTTAGGGTTTAGGGTTTAGGGTTTAGGGTTTAGGGTTTAGGGTTTAGGGTTTAGGGTTTAGGGTTTAGGGTGTTAGTCTCCCAAAGGGACAGGAGCAAGCACTTCTGCGCTGCCATGGCCAACTTCATTTTTGCCTTTGGCCGGCAGCCAGCTCTGCCTGTAAAAGGTTGGGCATCCTGACTCCCAAGCCGCGAACCGCGTCCCTAAACCCTAAACCCTAAACCCTAAACCCTGAACCCTAAACCCTAAACCCTAAACTTAGAGCAGGGAGCAGCAGGAAGCAAAGCAAACTGCTTTGACGCCGAAGCATAGACCTGAGAGCCAGAGTGAGCCTTAGTCGATGT